GCGTGTACACGTGTGTGTGTGTACGCGTGTGTGTGTGTGCGTGCGTGCGTGTTGCCCCCACCGACCTCCTCGTGTGTCTTGCCGGCCTTGGTAGCTGGTCGCGAACAGCACTCGCCGCGGCGTTCCAAGCACACTCCTCAGTGTTGTCACGGTTTGGCTGGGACGGTGCTGCTCGGTGCGGAAAGGCCGCGTCCCCCATGTCCTTGAAGCGTTTGCAAGTGAAAGTGAGTTTGCATTCTCAGCCCCCGGTCATCAATGAATGAGAAAAAAAAACTCACCTCGCATTTTTTTGGATAAATTCGGGCGGTGAGAATTTAAGAAATAATATTGGTTTGACTGTCACACAACAGACAACATTCTCATAGCAGAGTCCACACAAAGGCTGTTCCAATCTCCTAAAGTATTTGCGCATCTCATCTTTACCGGTTCATTCGCATTGATTTTTGTTAAAATCGTCAAGCCTTGCATATATTTGTGTACAACGAGAGCATCACGTCCTGAGTTTGCAAACTGTCATCTGCACTCTACGCACGTGTGCATCTCCAGCATCCTTTGCCTCCCTCCCGAATTGCGGAGTCGTGCCCACTGAACATTTGAACGCTCACCGCAGGTACCGTCGGCATCAAAGTCCGTGGCGCACAAAACAACATTTCGCCCCGTGATGCTCCTCGGGTACCATCTCATGTTTCATCGCGAACTCTGGAGGTCTCCATTGGTACCTCATTTGCCAGTAAAAAATATGATAATTGTTTTTTTACCCTTTTATCTGGCAACAAAACTGACACCTTTTTTTACGAGGAGTCATGTTTGCATAGACCACAATACCTGCAGTCATAATGCAAACAAAAAACACAACTCTGATAATGATATGCACTGTCCTTGAAGTTGATTGGTCCACACCCGAGACAGCTTTCCTCACATGGGTTGGACCAGATGAGGTTCCAATGGTGTAAATGCTTACCCCGAGCTCTCATACTCTGATGGTGCATTGTCTTTGAATTGTGCGCCTTTTGACGACTACGCAAACAGCCAGAGTGTTGGATTTCTCTGTTCAAATTGCTCGTGGTCACCTGGCTGGAGTGAATTACCCGCCTCATTGAAAACTTTGAGTCTGCGAGTCGTTGCGGGCAAACATTTGCCGATACGGATTGAACGTTTTCTCATTTTCGGCGCCCGCTTCCGGCATCGCGAGGCGACGCGCGCGGCTCCCCCTCTCTCTCTCTCTCTCGGACGATGTCGGAGTTTTAACGCCCGCCCACGAGTTCCGTCGACACTGACCCGGCCCGCACTTTGGCCGCCCCCCCCCCCCCCCCCCCCGGTCTCGGCCGTCCGCCCCCTCCGTGCCCTCGCCGACCCCTCCGCCTAGGTCCGTGGAGCCGGGAGCGACGTACGCGTACCAGGTGGCCGTCTCGACGACGTACGGAGACTCGCAGCCCTCGCCGCCGCTCGTCTACACGCACGGCGGACCCCGCTGTGGGGGGGACGCTGCGGCGCACGGGTGAGTGAGGGGGGCACCGCGTTCAGATTCTCTCGCGGGAGAGTGACTTCAAAAACTGAACGCGTTTGCCAATAGCACTCTGCACGATGTAGCCAGTGAGTGGGTTTGATTCCTGGTCATGGCTATAACCGGTGATCGATTCTATCAGAAGTGGGCTTTGGGCCTGTCCCTTCACAAACGCACCTCTCGGCGTCAATCCCAGAGCGATCCTTCTTGTGACAATAACGAGGGCAAAGGTGTGGGGGCGTAAGACTCGGATAAAAAATAAAACGAAGCCGGCACATCTATTCACATTTCAATCCACTTAATTGCATTTCGTTTCCTCACCAAAAGCTCAGAAAAGCCGTCGGTAACACCGTGGGAGCCACACGGTGGCATTTCCACGAAATTAATTTCTGCGCAACCAACAATGGCACTGAATTTAAGGCCCTGATTGAGGGTGGTCGATGCTCAGCAGGGCTCGGTGCGGGGGGTCTGGGCCTGAAGGCGCTTCGGGCGCCCAAGGGATGTCGTGTTATTTACGATGCGCCCCCCCCCCCGTCTCCGAGGGAAGCCACAAGTGTCACCAGATTTACGGTGTGCCCCCTGCCCCCTGCCCCCTGCCCCCCGCCCCGTCTCGGAGGGAAGCCACACGTGTCACCAGATTTACGGTGCGTTTTAATCGTTGAAGAAACACGGGAGCCGTGTGTAGCAGGCCAAGAGGCGTCTCCCTCCACAGGGCCAGTGCGTGCTCACCCTGTTCGGGGAAGCTAAGTGGTTTATCGATTACGTTAACAAGACACGTCCGATTACACTGGTCAACACACTTTTTCTGGCATAAGGTATTCCAACGGTTTTAAGGTAATTTTGGGGTGCTGATTCCAAATGAGTTTTTTGAGATATCAATGATTGCATTTTCAATAAAAACTGCAGAAGAAAAATATTAAATAAATGTGGATATCTACATAAAATGATATTATAAACACACTGTCCTAAAAATACAGCACCATATTTTAACACTAAAGCAGTCACTGACTCGCAACAACTTGCAATCATAACTGACAGAGTTAATTTTGGGTTAAATCAATGAAAATTGGGTATGCCGATAGCATAAAAATGAGATGTGATCGAGCAAATCTAAGATCAGATTTGGAATCGGCACCCTGAAATTAGCCTAAAACAGCTTCAAAAGTCCAGGCCAGAAAAACATGTTCTTTTGTTGTTGACCAGTGTTATCTTTACAGCACCGGCTTGAATGTGCGAACGAAAGACTCCGGTGCTTTTAACAAGTGCGTTGGCTTTATATTAGAGCCGGTCCCATCCAGTGATTCAAGTCGTTGATTTTCTCTGCCAATTGATCGCTTGAAATGCTCGACCAATCGGAACGGATGAAAATGGCGTGGTCCGTACACGGAGCGGCGAGTGTGGCGCATTCGAACGTCGAGCAAAACAACCATCCACTCCGAGTCACTCCCCCAGGAAAAAACATGTCTTGACATTGACTCCGCATCTCCACAAGTGCTTGACTGAATATCAAAACATATCATCGTCCTGTGAAATGTTGTCATTGCTTCGTACGACATGGTCATCACCATTGTCATTGGACGACACAAACTCTGTGGGAGATTGACGGGTGTGGGGGGGGGGTTTCCCACCTTCAGGCGGCAGGATATGGGGGCGGCCATCAAGGGGCCCGTGTCATCAACCACAAGAAAAAGCAATCGATTACAACACTTTTGGGTCGCGTAGACAGGTTGTTGAACCTATCTACCTGACTTTACCGAAAGACACAGAATATGAATTCCTGCAGTCACGAAAGCTTTAAGTCAAGATTTAATTTGTTACAATGTTTAGTCGATTTGTAGATTTTCTCGACGATTGATTGACGAATCATCCCGGTGATGCTTTGTGTCATTATTGGACCGATCACCACTCCATTCAATGTTCCCCCGCTTCACGCGAGGAGGCCGTCTAACAAACCCACGCCCTCTTGGTGTCTCCCCAACGGCGCCAGGTGTACCTGCAACGCCTGCAGCACCTGCCTGCAGCGGCTGGCGGCTCACGGCACGGCGCGGTGCGACGACGAGGCCGGCAGCCGGTGCGAGGTGCTCTGCGGCAAGGGGCACCGAGCGAGGACGGGCAGCAGCCCGCGGCGGACGGGGACCCGGTGAGGGCCCACCGTCGTCCCGTGCAATTCGGCGTCGCTTCAGCCCTCGCCGTTGCGCTGACCGCACGCCGACCTCGTGGTTTACGCGGATTTCCGCGGAGGTTAACGGGCGGCCTTCTACGTGGCTTTGACACATCCCTCCTGCGGAGGGAGCTGGTAGTAACGTTGGGTTGCTCGGTCAATGGCCTGCAGGGTCAACGGCGGCGTGGTGTATTCCGCAAATATGGCCGACTGTGAGGGCGGGCACAAGCCGGCGTGAGTTGGTTAAACGTTGAGTTTTATAAGGGCACCACGGGGTGACCAGCCCCTCCCCACCCAGCCCCACCCAGCCCCTCCCCACCCTCACCACCCAGCCCATCCCCACCCAGCCCCTCCCCACCCAGCCCCACCCCTCCCACCCCCCACCCTCCCCACCCAGCCCATCCCCACCCTCCCCACCCAGCCCCTCCCCACCCAGCCCCACCCCTCCCAGCCCCACCCTGCACGACGGACACAATAATCCCCTGTGGGCTGGTGTAACCAGGAGGTTCCTGCCAGTACGAGGTGTTTGTCGTCGTGCTCGCGTGACGGGGGGAGCCCGTCGTGCTGACTGAAGAGAGTTTGTCGCACGAGCGTGTTGTTGTTGTTGTTGTTTGCTCATTCGGGCTCCGTTAGTGCCGCTTCGTTGGCACCGTCATTAGAAATGTGCCGTGCGCTCGCCGTGGATTGCACAATAATTGGAATGTTTGGAGGCGCCATTTCATCGCAGTTTTGTGAGAGTAAGAATAGTTTTTTCCGCAGATTTATTTGCCGTTTGCACGCCCCCAACACCGATACAGCCATGCGGGTCCTGCAGCGTAGGTTTTCGCGGTTGTGCGGTAACGGCGCGCCGAGGTGTTTATCGGGTCGGCTGCCGCGTGTCGTGTCGGCACGACGTCCGACGTTTCGCGCCACGAGCTTTGGCAGTTTGGTCAGGATCGTCGGACGCCGGGCTGAATAATACTAGGTACGAGGGAGGCGCGTGACGGAATCGCGTCGGAGTTTAAAGGCCCTTGTCACGAACGCCGCCCCTCCTCCAATCAGCATCAGGCGGGAGTGACCCGCGTGGAGGGCCAGGGGGATGAGCGCGTTGCCCGCCGGCCCGTCGACTGCGGCGTCCCGAGTTGGCACCTCGTGTACCACGCCCACTTCAGCTACCCCCACGGGACGAGCTACGGTGCCCGCACCACCTTCGTCTGCCTCCCACCCGCCAAACTGCAAGGTGACCCGTCCAGCAATCTCTTACTTCTCGTCGTCGTCGTCATCAATGTTCAGCCATGGTCAATCCACTGCTAGATGAAGGCCTCCCCAACATGCAGGCTGAGTTTCTTTCTTGAACAGTTTAACATGCTTGTGAAATGCGGTGAATCGTAAGCGTAACTCTCAGATGACCGGGATATTTGATTGACCGGCAACCTCCATTCCCCATAGATTCCGGATGAGAGGGACCAGGCAGGGGGTCTCACGTAAGGGTAACGTGGGACCTGAGTGGTTGTCAATAATGATTGATGCGACGGGCACCGACAGGGCAGTGTGAGGATGAGCACGGATCTCAGACGGTGGTGAATAGTCATTGGGACAGAGCCAGGACGGGGGCCAGGTGCGGCGAGAGATGGCTCGGGAAGAGGGTTTAAAGCCGGCGTGGAACAGGGCTCTGGGCTGCTGCTGCTCCTACTACTGCTGCTGCTACTGATACTTCTGCTGCTACTGCTGCTGTTACTGCTGCTACTGCTGCTGCTGCTACTGCTGCTACTGCTGCTACTGCTGCTGCTACTGCTGCTGCTGCTGCTACTGCTGCTACTGCTGCTGTACTGCTGCTGCTGCTGCTGCTGCTACTGCTGCTGCTACTGCTGCTGCTGCTACTGCTGCTGCTGCTACTGCTGCTACTGCTGCTACTGCTGCTGCTACTGCTGCTGTTGTTGTGGGGGAACCAAGAAGCTGTCGTCACCGTCGTCATCTTGGAGCGGGTCGTCTTCGTCGTCCTGGAACGGGGGCACCTTGTGCTCTTGGAGAGTGACGGTGTCTCCTTCCGCTCCTGTGTAGCCAGCCAACTACACGGGGAGCGTCGCGTAGAAGTTACCCAGCTGTGTCTGTAGTCAACTCGCGGTTACTCGTTAAGTTAGCGGCGAGTCGGTGGACTTGATGAATGACTAGCGGTAAGTACCCGGCGTTGCCCGGGCAACAGACACACACATCGACCCACACACACACAAAGACATCGACTTACACAGACACACATATGGACTCGCACACACACACATACGTAGACTCTCACACATACATCGACCTAAGCATACATATGGACTTACACACACATATATCGACTAAGAGATACACATGGACCCACGCACACATCGACTCACACATACACACAGACATACATATGGACGTACACAGACACATATCGACGCACACACACATGGACTGTCACACACAGACACACTGCCGTACACACATCGACTGACACACAGACTCACACACAAACACACATCGACTCACACACGCACATAGAGCCACACACACACATGAACTTACGCACACACACACACGCACAGACATGTACGTATACATGGCAACAACCGCCATTCGCCATTAAATTCATAATAAATGTACATCTGACTGAACAAGGTGTCTCTGGAAGCTGCTACATTACACATACTTTACAATGTAAGTGTAAAATATACTTGCACATTGCAGCACCTTTGCATTTCGCCAAGGACATCCGTAAGTGTTTGCGGTTGTGTGGTTGTGGATTCGATCTTGGCCCTGACGCCTGCTGTCTATTTGGAGTCTGCGCGTCTCTCTCTCACTCATCATCATCACGGTGGCTAGGAGATGTTAACTACCTCGCCTGGTATACAAGAGGTCGTGGGTTCGATCCCGACCCTGATGCCTGTTGTCTATATGGAGTCTGCGCGTCTCTCTCTCTCTCCCGGCGATCTCATGGACGTTTCTCCGATTCTTCCCGTTTTTCCCTCCACATTTCGAATGAATGTGCGTTTTGATTATTTGTTGACTGCTAGGAATTTCCACGCGATGATTACCCACCCTTCGTTGGCTCGCCATCGTGTGAAATTTTGAAAAAGAGCCAGAGAGCTCGGTGGACCTTACCTGGTAAAATAAAAACTAGTTTAATAGTTTTAACACTGTGAAGAGGGGAGCACCGAGAACCATCGTCATTCTCCCTCCGGCTTTAATCGCCGCCGCGGCAAACACGATCGCCGACGACGGATTGTGACGCCGAACGTCTTTGCGTTTGTCCTTCCGCGGGGACGCCAGGTGCGAGCGCAGAGCTGCGGTGCCAGGAGGACGGACTGTGGTCCCTGCCGGAGGCGTACTGCCAGCTGACGTGCCGGGCCCCGCCGCCCATGGCCAACGCCGTGGCGCGCACCGACCGCTGCAAACACGACGGACAGGAGGTCGGCTCCTCCTGCAAGTATCGCTGCGAGCCGGGACACCACGTGCCGCTCACCAGTCGCAAGTAAAGCCCGCTTCCACACCTCCCGCTACACTCGGCACACCAGCACCCCGCCACGGTCATGGAACGCGAGCAGACGTGTGTGCTCACAAACACCGTGCCCTGGGTGCACGTCACGCGCACGTGTGGGGCGCTCAATGCCGGAATCATCGTTCCAAATGTTGGCAAATGTTAAGGATTGGCTGTGTCCCCACGTACGTGTGTAATACACCTTTCTACAAACGCATCGCGATTATTTTGCAGTCATAAATTTGCGCGGTTGTTTTCGTCACGTGACAACAATATCCTGGAGTCTACAAACTAAGTTGCACCTGTAGTGGCTGTTACATTGGGGAAACGAAACGACAAGGAAGATCTGAAACACGGCAGAACCAATACCTCCGCGTGGCTGACCATCGCTATGACGCTGTGGGCTCTCCTAATATTGTTTTTTCCGAGACCAGGGTACTCTGCAAACCTTCGGGCTACTATCAAAGGTTTGTTCATGAAGCCATCCAGATATATAAACATAGACATAACATCAACCGAGAAGATGGATACAAATTGAGCGATCATTGGAATGATGTTATTAACCAGGTTAAAACCTTCACTGCTTCTTACCTATATAGCCTCTTGTCACGACAGCCCTTTTGCCCACTTCAGCGATTGTTTCTTGCTGTGCTTGTCCCACCTGATGACGGCCTTACCGAAAGAGCCAAAGAGTATGGATCCCTGCAGTCACGAAAACTTCACATCAAGATTGTTTCACTGCTGTCATTTGTGGCAAGGTCACTTCTGAAAAAGAGCGACTACAGCTCCGTGGACCTTACCTGGGGAAGAAAAAAAATGTTTAATAGTTTTAGATGGCGAGCACACACACACACGTGCGCTCAGCCAACACGCTCGCAAATCACCCGGCTCCTGCCGCCGCCCGCCTCCCTCCCTCCCCAGGGGGTTCAAGGTGAGGTGCACGGACAGTGGCCACTGGGAGGAGGGCGGCTGCGTGCCCGTGCAGTGCCCCCCGCTGCCGCCAGTGCTGCACGGCTCCTACACGTGCACGCAGCGCTGGCAGCTCGGCTCCCGCTGCTGGGTCAACTGCAGCACCGCCAGCGCCAGCAAGGTCCCGCACACCTCGCACGAGCACAAAGATCCCCCCCCCGCCCCCACGTAGCCTCGACGGACTTGTTGTTGGGGGCACGTGCTGTCAGCACGAGGGGGTCGGTGGGCAGCAGCGCGCCCGGCCGCGTCTGTGTCTCTGGCGTGGCGATGGTGACCACACGCCGCCGCGCCACACACTCGTGGCCTGGGGGAGGCCCAGCACCGCTTCAGATAATCGTCACTGGCGTTGGCTGTGAACAGGAATCAAACTCAGGTCGCCGGGTTTGTAGCGCAGCGCGCACACGCACACACACATTTACAGTGACACACACACACAGTGACACACACACACACTGACACACACACACAACAACAACAACAACCGCCATTCGCCACTAAGTGGCGGTGACGTCACCACGATGCTTGTGCCAGGCCAAGTGCACCTTGAGGCCACGTGAAGTGTCGAAAGCCCGCTGGCAGGAGGTCACGGGGCAGACCCAGGTGCCACGGGTCGACTGACCGAGATGACCGAGATGACTGGCTGATGCACCACCTGTGCCCCCTACTGTGCCAACTTGCTGTGCTTTAGCCACCCGGCGCTCCGCTCGTTGTTGTGAGCGTCGCTCCTCCGCCCTCCGTTGTTGTTGGAGGGCGACTGCCTCCAACTGCCCAGTAGCGTCCTTCACGAGCCTCCTCCACTGAGGCCGATCTTGACACCGCTGGTACCAGTCATCGGCAAGTCCACTCAGCTCCACGTCCTCCTGTACCACATCACTCCATCTCTTCTCCAGCCCGTGCCGCGCCCGTCTAGCCCCCTCGATCCGGCCGAACAAAAGCTGTTTAGGCATGCGGTGGCTGGGCATGCGGGCTACATGACCCAGCCAACGCAGCCTTGCCTGCCGGAGGAGCTCACTGATGGGACTTTGCCCAGATCTTTCAAGGATTTGTGAGCTCCTCACACAATCCAGCCTGGTTAAACCCAGGATGGATCGTAGGCAGGCCAGCCCTAAATGTTTCCAACCGGCGAAGATGCTCCACCAGGGGGGTCCACGTCTCGCAAGCGTAGAGAAGGGAGGGAATGACCGTGGCCGAGAAGACCTGAAGCTTCGTGTGGAGCGACAGACCAGGTAGCTTCCACACAGCGTTACGCAACCGATGAAAAGATATTGCCGCTCGACTGATTCGGAGTGAGACCTCTGCTGATAGACTGGAGCCGGTCATAAGCACACTGCCCAGGTATGGGAAACTCTCCACTCTCTCCACAACTGCCCCATCACCAATTGGGAGTTGTGGGGGTGGAGTGTCCGATGGTACAAAATACCCAGGCAGGTGCTTAGTTTTGGTGGGGCTGATGGTAAGGCCCCACCTCTTAGTGGCACGCTCCAGTCTCAGCAGCAGCGCCTCCAACTCCTCTTCTGAATGAGCAGCTATTACCAAATCATCGGCATACATAACGTGGTTGACCAATAGGGAGCCATCCCTTGATCGCACCCGGGCGTCGATCAGCCTCCCATTATATCTGTACCAAATAGAAATTCCCCCGGTACAGCTATTGAAGGCTTCACGAACTACGCGGTCAAAATAGATGTTAAATAATGTGGGAGCCAGAGGACATCCCTGTCGCACCCCAAGGTGTACAGGGAAAGGCTCCGACTCCCGGCCACGTAGTTTTACCCGGGCCCGCTCACCATCATGAAGGTCCTTAATGATCGTGAGCAGAGGGTCAGGGACTCCGAAAGCACGAAGAACAACCCAGAGCCCAGTCCTACTGATGGTATCATAGGCCTTGACCAGGTCAATAAAGCAGAGATGTAGGTCTTTTTGGAATTCCCTACACCTCTGCTGTAGCAGACGGACAGAAAATATGGCATCTGTGCAGGACCGCCCTTTCCTGAAACCGCATTGGGGCTCCGCAAGCCTCTCCTCAGCGTGCCTAGCAAGGCGATGTTGAATAATCCTTGCCAGGACCTTACCCGGCACACTGAGGAGTGAGATGCCCCTGTAGTTGTTACAGTCGGTACGGTCCCCCTTCTTAAAGAGGGGAACCACCAGGGCATCCTTCCAGTCCTGCGGAACCCGTCCAGTGGTCCAGACTGTTGTTATGATGTCATATAGGGCAGTCTGTGCACAAACGCCACCCTCCCTCAGCATTTCGCTTGGGAGATCATCTCTGCCCGGTGCCTTTCCTGGTCTCAGACTCCGGATCGCCTTCAGTACTTCCTCAACAGATGGCACCTCAGCCAGCCACTCACAGGGGGTGACCTCTTCCAATATTTGAGGCACCGCAGCCTCAGCAGGGTTATCACCACTTTGTGCCATGATGTTTTCCTGGCTGAGAGAATTTCCCTCCCCCAGGACCTCACAGAAATGCTCAGCAAATCTGCAAACCTGTTCCTGGGGGTCGGAGATTGGATCACCGTTTTTTCCTCTAATGATGGTAATAGGTGTGGCGCTGCAGGTTACTTTTTTGATGGAGTTAAATAGTGATTTGTGATCACGGGCCACTGAGGCAGACTCCATCTCCTCAGCAACCCGCGACCACCACCCATCCTTACAGCGCCTGACGGCTCTCCGAACTTCTGAGCGAAGGCTGCGGTAAACCTCCTCATTCTCTGACGTGGGATGCTGTAGGCGATGAGAGTGGGCCTGACGCTTTTTCTCAATTAACCTGAACACCTCCTCTGTCAGCCAGGGTTTCTGGGGAGGTCTGGACCGCGTACCCAAAGCAGCCATTGCAGCTGCATGAGTCACAGTCTTAAACCTCGCCCATTTCCCCTCGACATCAGGTGGAGTGGGGGACGATGCCAACCCCAGCTGCAAGCGATGATGAAATTCTCGCTTGCAACTTTCATCAGCTAACTGAGACCAGGCCACTTTTGGTTGGAATGGGATCCTGGGTGTACACCCACCACCGGAGTGGAAGAAAGGCAGGCGCATCTTACAGATGACTAGTCGATGGTCAGAGGACAGATCAGCTCCACGGTAGGTCCTGGTGTCAAGGACATGGGCTCGCATCCGCTGGTCCGTCACTATGTAGTCCAGCAGATGTTCTTGCTTGGACCCGGCATGTATCCATGATGTTGTGTGGATGCGCCGATGCCGGAACAGCGTGTTGGTAATTACAAGCCCATGGGCTGCACAAAAATCTAGCAGCCTCCTACCGTTATTATTGAGCTGATCTGGCCCATGCCTTCCAATCACTCCAGACCAGGTACCAGCATCATGACCAACTCGGGCATTGAAGTCACCCAACAAGATGACTCTGTCCCGAGTGGCCACTTTAGCCAGCACCTGTGACAGGAGGTCATAGAAAGAGTCTGACTCATCGGCTTTGCCTGCATCCCTCCACGGATGTTCGTCTTCGGTGGGGGCATAAGTAACCACGACCACCACTCCTCGCCTCTGGTTGATGGGAAGGCGAGCCAAAAGTATCCTGGGGCTTACAGCTTCCCACACCTCACCGCCACGCTCCCACGCCCCCTTCATTCTTTTGTTCAGAAGAAGAGCCACACCCTGTTGTTTGGCAGTCTCCTGCCCCGAGTAGAGGACTGTCCACCCCTCATGGTGGCAGGAGCCAGAACCGGTCCACCGGACCTCCTGAATGCCACAGAGATCCAGGCGGTACCGGTCCAGCTCCCGACAGAGGAGTGGCAGCCTCTCCTCCGCAGTGAGCGTTCGAACATTCCACGTGGCCATCCGCAATGGTTTTTTGTTGTTTCTGGAGGAGCCCCGAGGGTGAAAATTCAATCTCCTGGCTCCGCCAAATGGGGTTTGGCCAGGAGACGTCATAAAAGCCTGACCCCCCGGGGCCTCCGGCACAAGCTTATTTGTTTCAGGTTTATGTTTAATTCGTGGTTTAGTGGTGGTTAATTGAAGGTGGAGGGGTTACCAGCCCCTCACACCCGTCCAGAGCCCCTGTTTAGCCACTGTGGTGGTCATGGCGTCTGTGACACACACACACACACAGTGACACACACACACACACAGTGACACACACACACACAGTGACACACACACACACAGTGACACACACATTTACAGTGACACACACACAGTGACACACACACACACAGTGACACACACACACACAGTGACACACACACACATTTACAGTGACACACACACACACATTTACAGTGACACACACACACACATTTACAGTGACACACACATTTACAGTGACACACACACACAGTGATACACACACACAGTGACACACACACACATTTACAGTGACACACACACACACATTTACAGTGACACACACACACATTTACAGTGACACACACACACATTTACAGTGACACACATTTACAGTGACACACACACATTTACAGTGACACACATTTACAGTGGCACACACATGAACAGTGACATACACATTTACAGTAACACACACACACATTTACAGTGACATACACATTTACAGTAACACACACACACATTTACAGTGACACACATTTACAGTGACACACACACATTTACAGTGACACACACATTTACAGTGACACACACATTTACAGTGACACACACATTTACAGTAACACACACATTTACAGTGACACACACATTAACAGTGACACACACATTTACAGTGACACACACATTTACAGTGACACACACATTTACAGTGACACTCAGATTTACAGTAACACACACACATTATACAGTGACACACACACATTTACAGTAATACACACACACACATTTACAGTGACACACACACACATTTACAGTAACACACACACATTTACAGTAACACACACACACAGTGACACACACACACAGTGACACACACACAGTGACACACACAGTGACACACACATTTACAGTAACACACACACATTAACAGTGACACACACATTTACAGTAACACACACACATTAACAGTGACACACACATTTACAGTAACACACACACATTAACAGTGACACACACATACATTTACAGTAACACACACACATTTACAGTAACACACACACATTAACAGTGACACACACATTTACAGTAACACACACACATTAACAGTGACACACACATTAACAGTGACACACACACATTTACAGTAACACACACACATTTACAGTAACACACACATTAACAGTGACACACACATTTACAGTAACACACACACATTAACAGTAACACACACACACATTTACAGTAACACACACACATTAACAGTGACACACATTTACAGTGACACACACATTTACAGTGACACACACATTAACAGTGACACACACACATTTACAATAACACACACACATTAACAGTGACACACACACATTAACAGTGACACACACACACATTTACAGTAACACACACATTTACAGTAACACACACACATTTACAGTAACACACACATTTACAGTAACACACACACATTTACTAGTGACACACACATTTACAGTAACACACACATTAACAGTGACACACACACATTTACAGTGACACACACACATTTACAGTGACACACACATTAACAGTGACACACACACACATTTACAGTAACACACACACATTTACTAGTGACACACACATTTACAGTAACACACACATTAACAGTGACACACACACATTTACAGTGACACACACACATTTACAGTGACACACACACATTTACAGTGACACACACACACATTTACAGTGACACACACACACATTTACAGTGACACACATTACAGTGACACAACACACATTTACAGTGAACACACACATTTACAGTAACACAACACACACATTACAGTGACACACACACATTTACAGTGACACACACACATTTACAGTGACACACACATTTACAGTGACACACATTTACAGTAACACACACATTAACAGTGACACACACATTTACAGTAACACACACACATTAACAGTAACACACACACACATTTACAGTAACACACACACATTAACAGTGACACACATTTACAGTGACACACACATTAACAGTGACACACACACATTTACAATAACACACACACACATTAACAGTGACACACACACATTAACAGTGACACACACACACATTTACAGTAACACACACATTTACAGTAACACACACACATTTACAGTAACACACACACATTTACAGTAACACACACACATTTACTAGTGACACACACATTTACAGTAACACACACATTAACAGTGACACACACACATTTACAGTGACACACACACATTTACAGTGACACACACATTAACAGTGACACACACACACATTTACAGTAACACACACACATTTACTAGTGACACACACATTTACAGTAACACACACATTAACAGTGACACACACACATTTACAGTGACACACACACATTTACAGTGACACACACACATTTACAGTGACACACACACACATTTACAGTGACACACACACACATTTACAGTGACACACATTTACAGTGACACACACACATTTACAGTAACACACACACATTTACAGTGACACACACACATTTACAGTGACACACACACATTTACAGTGACACACACATTTACAGTGACACACATTTACAGTAACACACACACATTATACAATGACACACATTAACAGTGACACACACATTAACAGTGACACACACATTTACAGTGACACACACATTTACAGTGACACACACATTTACAGTGACACACATTTACAGTAACACACACACATTATACAATGACACACATTAACAGTGACACACACATTAACAGTGACACACACATTTACAGTGACACACACATTTACAGTGACACACACATTTACAGTGACACACACATTTACAGTGACACACATTTACAGTAACACACACACATTATACAATGACACACATTTACAGTGACACACACACATTAACAGTGACACACACATTTACAGTGACACACACATTATACAGTGACACACAGATTTACAGTAACACACACATTTACAGTGACACACACACATTTACAGTGACACACATTTACAGTGACACACACACACACATTTACAGTAACACACACACATTTACAGTAACACACACACACATTTACAGTAACACACACACACATTTACAGTGACACACATTAACAGTGACACACACACACATTAACAGTGACACACACACATTTACAGTATGACACACACACACATTTACAGTAACACACACACACATTTACAGTAACACACACACACATTTACAGTGACACACATTAACAGTGACACACACACACATTAACAGTGACACACACACATTTACAGTATGACACACACACATTTACAGTGACACACACACATTTACAGTAACACACACACACATTTACAGTAACACACACACACATTTACAGTGACACACATTAACAGTGACACACACACACATTAACAGTGACACACACACATTTACAGTATGACACACACACATTTACAGTATGACACACACACATTTACAGTATGACACACATTTACAGTGACACACACACACATTTACAGTGACACACACGCACTCTGAATATGCACTAAGTTTCACGGGGACCTCCTGTGGCTGTTATTGTTTTTCCCGGGGGCCATTTATACGTTCAGTGCCTTCCCTTGAGCGTGTTTGCAACCTCCCCTTTCTGATGCCTTAGGAATGACACTGTAACTGTCGTACAGGAATTGCACGCAATGGTTTACATGGTTTTGGAAACATGGAATGCTGGAAAAATAAAATGGTTACAATAGTGGAACAGTGCGCCAAGAAGTGTGGATAGGTGCGTGCACGGCGCAGGTTGGATGCACCATGCTAGCGGCTGGGAGCAGCACGTGGGCTTGGGCAGGAGGCCGTCACCGCGTGGGATGATGGCCTCGTGACGGTCGAGATTCATGACGGATTGGCAGCCAGGTGAGGGGACCGGGGAGATGGAGCGGAAAAGACAGCTGGCGTGTGTGAGTACGAGATGGATTGCCACATTGCAGGACCAAGGGAGATGATGAAGGCTTGGGGGGGGGGGGGGAGAGGCCTTCATCCAGCATTGAATTGACTGAAGATGATGATGAATGCATCAGCTGATTTATATCATATTTGGGTATTGCCAAACTCATGATGTTGATTAGATGCCTCGAGGCATTGCAATTGATGTTACTCATGAGTTGACAAGTGTGCGCGTGTGTGTGTGAAAGATCTGGGCAAAGTCCCATCGGTGAGCTCCTCCGGCAGGCGAGGCTGCGTTGGCTGGGTCATGTAGCCCGCATGCCCAGCCACCGCATGCCTAAACAGCTCTTGTTTGGCCAGATAGAGGGGGCTAAACGGGCGCGGCACGGGCTAGAGAAGAGATGGAGTGATGTGGTACAGGAGGACGTGGAGCTGAGTGGACTTGCCGATGACTGGTACCAGCGGTGTCAAGATCGGCCTCAGTGGAGGAGGCTCGTGAAGGACGCTACTGGGCAGTTGGAGGCAGTCGCCCTCCAACAACAACGGAGGGCAGAGGAGCGACGCTCACAACAACGAGCGGAGCGCCGGGTGGCTAAAGCACAGCAAGTTTGTACAGTAGGGGGCACAGGTGGTGCATCAGCCAGTCATCTCGGTCATCTCGGTCAGTCGACCCGTGGCACCTGCTGGGTCTGCCCCGTGACCTCCTGCCAGCGGGCGTTCGACACTTCACGTGGCCTCAAGGTGCACTTGGCCTGGCACAAGCGTCGTGGTGACGTCACCGCCACTTAGTGGCGAATGGCGGTTGTTGTTGTTGTGTGTGTCTCTGTATTGGACCAGCAGAACCACACAGTGATCCGGTGCAGCAAGAATGGACGCTGGAGTGGGGAACTGCAGCTGTGCCCGCACGAGCAGGGCGAGTGCACCGCCCCGGACCCTCCGTTCATCATCACATGCGACTGCCCTACCGGATACGGAATAGGTAACGGCGTAGCTGGCTTCTCAAACATATTTGTATATTTTGTTGAGTATTTATGGGGTTATGGGGGTAGTAGCACAGCAGCGGTAGACACGCCTCGAATGGATGTGTGTGAAAAAGAGCTTCGTAACTCATCGGATTCTTCCAATATAAAATGAATATTCTGATTCTGTGTGTGTGTGTATAGTGGGAGTGATACTGATCACCCACCCCCTCATGGTGCTCACTGACAGCACTTGCCCCTGCAGTCTTTTGAGACTATACCGGTGATCTTCTTCCATAGCTGTAGTGTCGTGGGCAGCGTGCAAACCGGCAACCGAGTTCGTTTCCGGCTTGCGGCTAATATTCAGCGACGAATATCTGAACCAGTCCTGGGCCTCCACTGGGTCAACTCAGCCTGAAATGAGTACTTGGTGTGTGACGTGTGAGCAGGCGTGGTGCTGACCACCCACCCCCCCCCCCCGGCCTTCATAGGTGCTCACTAGCAGAACTTGCCCAAGCAGCTTGCTAAAGGCTATATTTTTGTCTTTTATATATATACAAGGTGGCACTGGAACATTGAGATTATTTGGTTTGAAATCCACAGAAAGAAAATTTGAAAAAAGAAAGAAAATTTGAAAAACGTCTTTTTTCTAATTTTCTTGCGGTGGATTTCACACCTGATGATGATTGCTGCTTGTGTTGCAGTCGAAACGTCGTGAGAATTTTTTTTGTTTTATATTCATATTATTTTATTATCTCCCTTCTACGTGACTTTACCGAAAGAACCAAGAACACACGTTTGAATGTAGAACCAAACGATGGGACAACAGCTGGTGAACAATGTTGTACATTGTACCTGAGAAATGTATCAACCAAATAATCTCAATGTTCCAGTTCCACCTTGTATATATATAATAAAGACAAAGATTCCCCCATAGAGCCTTTAGCAAGCTTCCCCATCGTTTGGTTCCACATTCAAACGGGAGTTGCTTTTAATTGAAATTCTCTCTCGCACCTCCCCGCGAGTTTTGCGTCTTGGGTTTGGGCCTGTGCGTGTCTGTTCGGCACGGCGGTTCCAACACTTCACCCGACGTGTCGGGGGCTTCTTCGGGGGAAGTGAATGAAGAAGGTCCCAGCACGTGGAGTGAAACGTCGGGCATCGTGCCAGGCTAAAAGGCACGACGGGCAAAACTCAGAAGACACAGCGGAGAGAGCTTTGTGTCGTAACCTACGCGGTGGCAAATCCACTTGCAGTTGCCACTTGCTGCTGCTACGTGTGTGTGTCTGTGTGTGTGTCTCTGTGTGTGTCTCTGTGTGTCTGTGTGTGTGTCTCTGTGTCACTGTGTGTGTGTCACTGTGTCTCTGTGTGTGTGTCACTGTGTGTATGTGTGTGTGTCTGTGTATATGTGCCTGTGTGTCTGTGTGTGCCACTTGTAGCTTTACAAAGGAGAGTAAATTTGCTCCATTTTTTTTGTTCACTTTTCTTGAAGGGGGATTTTCCAAATCGTTGTGCTCGTGGGGGAATAAAAAAATGCCACCTTGTCAATCGAAGTTTTCCAGTTTCTTAAAAAGCTTCGGCTTTACAACGATTGGTCGGTCAAGGTGTTGCCCACTCCGTCTCTCTGCTCAGAAGGTCCATTGCCCCGACATATCAGTCTCCTCCTGTACAGATTTGTTCCCGTTGTAAGGCAACGGTCATCACGAAAGTGTGGAGAGAAGTTTTTGAAACTGTCACCCTCGCAATCGCCGCAACTGCCAATCTCGGCGCTCTATCCATTAGGCGCACGAATCGATCTCATCTTTGGCCGCCCCACGGCACAGCCCCGAATCTCTGCCGCCGGACCGCACTCCGTGACGCTTGTCATTTCGTGCGGAAGAACATTTCACTTTAGTGGGGAACAACAGTCGGTCGTAATTATGATCATTTTAATTCAAAGGGTGCCCTTAATTTGATCCCAGAATACCAAGCGTGTTAAAGATGAATGACTCAGTGCGAGGTAATGAGGGAGAGAATGACTCGAGGGACAAGATGGAGGACTCGAGAGAGAGGCCCTTTGAAACAGGACGGGTCTTCCGCAGGGACTTAGAAGCAGAGGTCGCAACCGGGTACCCGATACCCGCACCCTACCCGATACCCGGCTACCCGTACCCGGCCGGGTAGCCGGGTATCGGGTATCCGTTTGCGACCCTGGTGCGGCCGGGTACGCGTAGACCGTGAGTCACAGGTGAGTCACCGTTTGTCGCTCATTTCCCAACGTCTTGTCTCTTCTCACAATTCAAGTTCCTAGAATCAACCCACCCGCGCCTGCAACATGGCTTCGTCCCAGAGGTCACAATCGGATACCCGATACCCGTACCCTACCCGTACCCGTACTCTACCCGTACCCGGCCGGGTACGGGTAGGGTACGGGTACGGCCGGGTACGGGTACCCGTTTGCGACCCTGGTGCGGCCGGGTACGGGTAGGGAATCAAAACCCGTTTGCGACCTCTGCTTAGAAGGTCTCCATTGACTCTTTTTGAGCTCCGAGGGCACACTCGGGGCGCCGTGCAGACACAAAATCTCGATCGCTACAGATTCCGAGTCGTCCAACGGCAAGCGCCTCGTGACGGTGAACGTGTATGTGTGTTGAACTGCTTTAGCAACGCACGTAGCACGCCATGCTCATCGGAAGTACGGCGGGGGGGGGAGGGTGTGAGGACAACAAACTAAACACAAGAAGCAGTTCAACATCTACACGTGATGACGACGATGGCGGTGGTGATGGTGGTTTGGTGTCTCCCTGTTGCCAGGATCCGTGTGCAAAACAAGCTGCCTGATCCCACACAGCGACTCCGTTTTGCTCCCTGAGAATGTCACCGTCCCGGAGAAGATCACCGCCCCGTCGCTGCCGCACTGGTGGACACTCCCCACCAAAGTTGAGGTCGGTCCTTTCTTGAAGCCGCGCGTGAGGATTTGCGTGCGGTGGGCACCCCCTCCCCCCCTCAACCTTTTCCCGTTCCGATGGCGTACGCACGTGTCACGTGTGCGCCATCGGTTCTTTACAATTCCATTCTGTGGACGCGTGTGTGATTCCGCTCCGATGACGTTCGTACACGTCAAGCCATGCGGGCGCGTGGGGCACGGTTTTGCGCCAGCTATCGCAGAGTGAGTTTGTGTCGCTACAGTTCTCTGCATTGTGTTAAAAAACAGTGGCGCTATAACTCTCCAAATACCATTAACACTGAACCGCTCGCATGTTCTGAGATTGGGCGGTGAATGGGACTCCACCACCCTGCAACTTGGAGACATCTCAGACACGGGAACAGGTTAAATGCCTCAGCAGCTGCAAGCGCCTTGCGTCACTCACACCTCGTCTCAACAATCCCAGTGCTCTGCTGCTGCAGGTTTACGCGCGAGTCTGCCAGCGCGGCAGTGGTGTTGCGATATGGTTTTTCTCGATGAAGTACATTGTGAGAAGTTTCATGTGCCAGTGCACACACAACCTCTGTTTTGCGTGACCTCACGGGGGATCTTGAGGGTCCACTGCGAAACAAACGGTGCCATCTTCCTTCGGTCGGTAAAAACCCCCGTGATTAACCAGGGCGGTCCATGGGCTTGAAGCGCGAAAATCTGCAAGCAACGGAAAATGCGCTGCTGGTGCTGCTGAGCCATGTCACCTTGTGTTGACATTGCGAGGATGTTTTTTTCGTCTGCATTCTTGAAACCAAGCTTTCTTGATTTGTTTTACAGTTGGCTTTAGACGGCTGCAGCGTTGGTTTAAATCACGGCGCGCTCCAGTTATGTGTCGGTATGAAGGTGTGTTCACGTTTTCATTGCACGCCTGCATCTCCGTTATGAAGGGGAGGATAAATGGTTTAAACCAAACGAAAGTCGCTCAAGTTGAGTTCTACACTTTTGTGACAACGTGCGACAGCAGTCGCTTCCACGGTGCATCGACTGATCCTCTATTAATATCGATTCTGCGAAATCCGCTTTCGAGGGCCGTTCTCTCAAGCGCACCTGCGATGAACGCCGTTGGCTACGTACGACGTGAAACAAGTTGAGCATCCACACGAGACCCGCTTAAAGCCGTGCGGTGGTAGCGGCAGCAATGGCGTCGTCACCAGCAGTTGCAGAACGGCAAACAACATCCGTATGCAGCGACACACTCGGAGAGACAGGGAAGTAGGAGGCACTCTGTTTATTAGCAGCCTTCACGAGCTACAAGGGGCAACAACAACAACAACAACACACCCCCAGTCAGGATGGCCGGCAGACCGCCGGACTGACGACGCCCGAGAAGGTGAAGACATCGACGAAGACTCCATCAGCACGACGGGGGGATCCCACTCCAAGCGACAGCCCCGAGCTTCCGTTCTGGGTCCACTTTTATCCTCCCGGCCACGCCCCCCTTCTAGAACGTACCAGCGGGTTCCCGGGCTCACCTCACGTGCCCCCCCCCCCCCCTGTCACCTTTCCCCGACACCCCTCTCTCTGACTTGTCACGTGACCTGCCGACAGGCAGGGCTGCTGTTGCTGCTGCTGCAACTGCAGATTCTCCCCCTTCTCTGGCAGCAACCCGCGCTGTGCTGCGTAGTGACCCGTTCCATGTCATTGCACTTTTCTAAATACATTAACGCCCCCTGCATGCACCCCCCCCCCACCGCCTCGGGTCCCTCTAACTGTAGGCGCACAGTGATTGCATCACCTTTCTCTATTCAAGACGGGAAACAGGTTGGAATGTTGAGACGATGCGCAAACGACGAGCTCGATTGCGAACGTGGCGGGGCGTTTGCTCTCCCAACACGCAACTGGACGGGGGGGGCTGAAGCAGTGACAAGTTGTGTTGGATCTATGCCCTGTTTTCCGTTATTAATATTAAGAATAATTAAGAAAAAAAAATTATTTTTGTTTTTATTATATCTATATATTTGTTTTTAATAATGAGGACGGCTCACTTCTCCTCACGGGCACACCGGGAGTCCATGAGACATGGAGGGCGGTTGAAATGATAGGAATTCGGTCACAAGAGGTCATAGACATCCAGACGGACAAAAAGATGTATGGACTAAACCTCCCAAGACATCTGGAGATGTACAGATAAGGTGCAGAGTGAATAACGGTTGAAACTTCGCGTTTTCTTAACGTTTCCCTCACCGAAAAGTAGAAACTTAACAAAGATAATTAACCAACAAACAATAATATTTTTACTATTATTATATGTTTCCTACTTACACGACCTTCCAAAAAAACTAAAGAGTACGAATTCCAGAAAGCTTAAGTGCATGTGCACTTAACCTCAGGACATAAAAAAATTAACTCACAATAAAACACCAATCTCTGGAGAACTAAACTTGGCGAAGCCCAAAATAATAATGTGACGAGGATCATGGCGAATATTCATTAAACATAGACGAATGATAACCACGATACTAAGACCGAAGGAACTCATAAAATATAATTCAAGAATAAATGTAACACACAGGACCACATAAATGTATTGCAAACATCTCCTCGACCACCTTTGTCTTCCAGCGGGGTCTGACCTCAGAATGACCCACCCAGGGTAAGCAAGGAGGGAGCAAAAGGTCACAAGGGGGGGGGGGGTTTGTGCTGACATTGGTTGTTTTCTCTCGCAAGAGACGCGGAGAGAGGAGTGACTGCTCGCGTGTTTGAGTTAAGCACGGCCGTCTTTGTCTCCCCGCAGCACAAACAGATGGCCCATGAATACTTGGAGGGTTAGGAAGGTCGCGAGGAGGGGACGCGGTGATGTCTGCTTATTCTCGCACTGTTTTAGGTTGTTTGTCTCTCGCAAAAGAAAGAGGAGGGTGATCGCGTTTTGAGCACAAACAGCAAGATTTGCACACGCAAGCAAAATAACATTCCCCACCCCTCCTCCCAGAATGGTTACACCGCTGGGTCTTTACTAATAAACACGCACACGACACACGAAACACACGAACGCAGATGTGTTCAACCCACAGAAAGATATATGACGGCCTTCAAACAACTCGGGAAGATTGAGTGGATTTTCTGAATATAAGCCGGGGAAAAATCCATTCAACTCAGATCGACAGGGGCTCTGGCCCCCACCACAGATCTCCAGGGCTTCGGCTCCATCTCTTCTCGTCGACGCCAACGAAGAAGCTTTTCGTCATACAGAAGGACAGGTTCGCGCGGTGAAGTAAAGCTGGCAGCCGCACGAACAAGGGGAACACGGAGCAGAGAGAGAGTGACGAGTGACGACAAGCAATCAACCTGTAAAAGGGCAGAGATCGCCAAGCGTCGACCAAGCGAGCAAAGCAGAGAGCGCGAAGCAGTGGAGGAAGCCTGGTCAAACGGCTGCGAGGGAGAGGACAGCGCCATCGAATGCGCCGTGTGCCTGAGGGCACACCGACCAACGACCAGTGTGAACACACAAGACGTCCAGAGCGACGGCGAGCATCGTGCCGACTCAACAATCAATCGAGCAGTGGAGAAGCCGGGGGCTGCCACCAAGAAAGCGCGTGCGCCACCTTGCGCCACCGTGCGCCAGCTTGCGCCACCGTGCGCCACCGTGCGCCACCTTGCGCCACCTTGCGCCACCGTGCGCCACCTTGCGCCACCTTGCGCCACCGTGCGCCACCGGGCGCCACCGTGCGCCACCTTGCGCCACCGTGCGCCACCCTGCGCCACCGTGCGCCACCGGGCGCCACCGTGCGCCACCGAGCGACACCGTGCGCCACCCTGCGCCACCGTGCGCCACCGGGCGCCACCGTGCGCCACCGTGCGCCACCGAGCGACACCGAGCGACACGAGCGGACCGAGCATCTTCAAGGAGAACATCGTGCCAACGCCGCTCAATCCAGCAGTGGAGAGAGAGAGAGAGCAAAAGCCGAGCGACACGCCGAGCGAGGGAGCAGCAGGAGCTTGCGGCGGCCACGCCCAATCGAGAGGAACATCTGGCCGCTGTTCGTATCCTCCCACACCACACAAGCTAACGACACAATTAATATTACGAGGGGACAACGCACACACAGCACGCACACGAATAAGACTTTAAAAGAAAAACTGTCTTTGCGTTTCAAAAGGGTTGCCATTTCGAGGTGGTGCGTTCAATATCAACTGATCGTGCAAAGCAGTTGCTGCCGTCGAGTTACATGAATAAGAAATGTTTTGGTCATCATTTTCGTTAACTGCATAATTTCGCCAATGAAGAAGTATTTTTAGTCATTCAATTTCGTTAATTGCATAAGATTGCCCATGAATTTATTGACGTATACTCGCTTTCGCATACTAGAGTGTCATGTGCTTGTTTAGAATTAAAATTGCTTAACACCAACTGTTCGAGTGCTTCTTTCCAAGTCCATGCAAAACTGTCTTATTCTTGACAACTGTATCCTGTGATGAGATCTGAACCTGGAGACCTTAAAATAATATAAACACACTAAGATAATCAGTAAATGTTTAATCGATGATAATCGTGTTATCCTGATTGATATAACCCTGGATAAACGAAACCAAGCCTAATTAACATAACTGCTTATATTAACATAATCGCAAGCATCCGCATAAATTACTACGATTATCTCTACGATTATCATAATTTATGCATATAATTACACGCATTATCATAATTTATGCATGTTAATACACGCACTATCATAATTAATGCGATTTGCGCATTTTTCGGAAAATTATTAATTTTTATTATTTTTATCAAAATTTCATAATCCCGAAACATACAACAGTTGGCACGTGACGTTCGCGTGACAAACCTTACCGCTCGTCCGCGTGGGGCGGATGTGGGGTGCACAACACACATTGTGGCATTTTACCAAGCCAAAGGAGGTTTTTTTTTAAATCACGAGTAGTAAATGATTCGATACGGAAATGTTCTTGTGAATCGACAGGAGATCGTCTGCACGGGGAAGAAGATGTGGCACCCCCCACCACGTGCCATCTACTGCTTCCAAGATTGTGAGGTAAGAACCCTTTGTGTGTACGTACCACCTACGTATGTTGAACTACTTTCCTTTGCTCGCAACTCTAACACAAAACAACTTTAAGGGCCGAGCTTCCAAGTGTTGCCAGCCATTTGAAGTAAAGTACGATGCTCCGTTTTCACCTTGCACGTGAACTGAAGCAAATATTCAAACAGCTTGAAATATATCGTTTGTGTGTATATGCAGTACACATGTTAGTGGGAGTGGTAGTGTAGTGTGTGTATATGCAGTACACAGGTTAGTGGGAGTGTAGTGTAGTGTGTGTATACAGTACACAGGGTAGTGGGAGTGGTAGTGTAGTGTGTGTATGCAGTACACATGTTAGTGGGAGTGTAGTGTAGTGTGTGTATACAGTACACAGGGTAGTGGGAGTGGTAGTGTAGTGTGTGTATGCAGTACACATGTTAGTGGGAGTGGTAGTGTAGTGTGTGTATGCAGTACACAGGTTAGTGGTAGTGTAGTGTGTGTGTACAGTACACACGTTAGTGGTAGTGTAGTGTGTGTACAGTACACACGTTAGTGGGAGTGTAGTGTGTGTATACAGTACACAGGGTAGTGGGAGTGGTAGTGTGTGTATACAGTACACAGGTTAGTGGTGTGTGTGTGTATACAGTACACAGGGTAGTGGTGTGTGTGTGTGTATACAGTACACAGGGTAGTGGTAGTGTAGTGGTGTGTGTGTGTATACAGTACACAGGGTAGTGGGAGTGGTAGTGTAGTGTGTGTATACAGTACACACGTTAGTGGTAGTGTAGTGTGTGTATACAGTACACAGGTTAGTGGGAGTGGTAGTGTAGTGTGTGTATATAGTACACAGGTTAGTGGTAGTGTAGTGTGTGTGTACAGTACACAGGTTAGTGGGAGTGTAGTGTGTGTATATAGTACACAGGTTAGTGGGAGTGTAGTGTGTGTATACAGTACACAGGTTAGTGGGGAGTGGTAGTGTAGTGTGTGTGTACAGTACACAGGGTAGTGGGAGTGTAGTGTGTGTATACAGTACACAGGTTAGTGGGGAGTGGTAGTGTAGTGGTGTGTATACAGTACACATGTTAGTGGTAGTGTAGTGTGTGTATACAGTACACAGGTTAGTGGGGAGTGGTAGTGTAGTGTGTGTATACAGTACACAGGTTAGTGGTAGTGTAGTGTGTGTATACAGTACACAGGTTAGGTGGGAGTGGTAGTGTAGTGTGTGTGTACAGTACACAGGGTAGTGGGAGTGGTAGTGTAGTGTGTGTACAGTACACAGGGTAGTGGGAGTGGTAGTGTGTGTATACAGTACACAGGGTAGTGGGAGTGGTAGTGTAGTGTGTATACAGTACACACGTTAGTGGAGGTGTAGTGTGTGTATACAGTACACAGGGTAGTCGGAGTGTAGTGTGTGTATACAGTACACAGGGTAGTGGTAGTGTGTGTATACAGTACACAGGTTAGTGGTAGTGTAGTGTGTGTATACAGTACACAGGTTAGTGGGAGTGGTAGTGTAGTGTGTGTATACAGTACACAGGGTAGTGGGAGTGGTAGTGTAGTGTGTGTATACAGTACACAGGTTAGTGGTAGTGTAGTGTGTGTATACAGTACACAGGTTAGTGGTAGTGTAGTGTGTGTATACAGTACACAGGGTAGTGGGAGTGGTAGTGTAGTGTGTGTATACAGTACACAGGTTAGTGGGAGTGGTAGTGTAGTGTGTGTATACAGTACACAGGTTAGTGGGAGTGGTAGTTGTAGTGTGTGTATACAGTACACAGGTTAGTGGGAGTGTAGTGTGTGTACAGCACACAGGTTAGTGGGAGTGGTAGTGTAGTGTGTGTATACAGTACACAGGTTAGTGGGAGTGGTAGTGTAGTGTGTGTATACAGTACACATGTTAGTGGGGAGTGGTAGTGTAGTGTGTGTGTACAGTACACAGGTTAGTGGGGAGTGGTAGTGTGTATACAGTACACAGGTTAGTGGGGAGTGGTAGTGTAGTGTGTGTGTACAGTACACATGTTAGTGGGGAGGGGTAGTGTAGTGTGTGTGTACAGTACACAGGGTAGTGGGAGTGGTAGTGTGTGTATACAGTACACAGGTTAGTGGGGAGTGGTAGTGTAGTGTGTGTATACAGTACACATGTTAGTGGTAGTGTAGTGTGTGTATACAGTATACAGGTTAGTGGGGAGTGGTAGTGTAGTGTGTGTATACAGTACACATGTTAGTGGTAGTGTAGTGTGTGTACAGTACACAGGTTAGTGGTAGTGTAGTGGTGTGTGTACAGTACACAGGTTAGTGGGGAGTGGTAGTGTAGTGTGTATACAGTACACATGTTAGTGGGGAGTTGTAGTGTAGTGGTGTGTGTACAGTACACAGGTTAGTGGGGAGTGGTAGTGTAGTGTGTGTATACAGTACACAGGTTAGTGGTAGTGTAGTGTGTGTATACAGTATACAGGTTAGTGGGGAGTGGTAGTGTAGTGTGTGTATACAGTACACAGGTTAGTGGTAGTGTAGTGTGTGTATACAGTACACAGGTTAGTGGTAGTGTAGTGGTGTGTATACAGTACACAGGTTAGTGGGGAGTGGTAGTGTAGTGTGTGTATACAGTACACAGGTTAGTGGGGAGTGGTAGTGTAGTGGTGTGTATACAGTACACATGTTAGTGGTAGTGTAGTGTGTGTATACAGTACACAGGGTAGTGGGAGTGGTAGTGTAGTGTGTGTATACAGTACACAGGTTAGTGGGAGTGGTAGTGTAGTGTGTGTATACAGTACACAGGTTAGTGGGGAGTGGTAGTGTAGTGGTGTGTGTACAGTACACAGGTTAGTGGGAGTGGTAGTGTAGTGTATGTGTAGGGCTGTTACAGAGGGGCTGTTTGTGTAGGGCTGTTGCATAGGATCTAACGGATGACAAACACAGTGGGCGGGGACTCCGCCAGTACACGGGGTGGTGCCGCAACGACGTCCGCATCCGGGCGGCGTGAGGGGGGGTTGTGATCCTCTGGGGGAGTATAAAAGGGGATGAGCCAGAGAGCTCGGGGTTCAGTCTTAGAGTAAATAGGGGAAGACGGAAGATCGACCAGATAGGCCCTGGACTCCCCTGGGACGCCGCCCTTATAAGGGCAGCGCAGGACGGAGCCAGTGGCGTGGTCCCGTGAACCAGAGTTAGTACTCTGGGACTCCGGGTACCGTAGCCCGACTGACCAGTGTCGGGCCAGACAGCCTCCCCTAGCCCGTTAGTGGAGGACTCGGGGTAGGTCAGGGATAGCTAGAGGGTATCCCCAGTTATACGGGTGAGGGGGCCGATACACCCCTCTAGTGCTGTACGACCATTGTGTAAATAAACACGTGTGCCTTACAACGGTGTCCAAGCGTCTTCAAGGGTACTTCATCTGGTGTCAGAAGAACTACGAACATGGACACGCGCCAATCAGCTCGGGCCAAAGTACAACAAATGGAGGACGCCGCCGAAATTGTCGAGCCCGAGATGGCTCAACAAGACATCGTGCAGCCGGGGCCGGACGCGTTCTTACCGGAGCGTCGGCATGAAGAGGGGCCGCAGACAGACGAGCTGAGGCTGGCTCACGAGAGGCTGGCTGAACTGCTTTACGCCGCTGCCGCCACGCTGGAGAGCATCACGCGGCTGGGGGCTGGTGGTCCACCGCGGGGCGAGGGGAGCCGGCGTCCGGAGCGCCTTCCCGCCATTTCCGAAGATTCAAACTTTGAATTTCCCGCCATCGATGCGGCGGCCGCTAGGGGCGTGGCCAGCCTGAACCTCGGGTCCGACATCGGCCGCGCTGGGGCTGCCGCGGTCAACGACGGAGGAGGGGCGCGTCATCACGGCTGCGACAGGCGATACCATCTGCCGTTCGCGCCGAAACACAGCCGAGTCGGGGAGACAGCAGCCCGCGGGATTCCACGGCAACCGCTGCGCTGCACCAAAGACTGCCTCCGCTTAAAGAATTTGTGGGCGCAGAAGGCGACTGGGGCGGCTTCCAGCGACGCTTCCTCGCCCACCAAGAAATGGCCAAATGGACGGATGCTGAAGCTCTCTGCGCGCTGCCGGCGCTCCTCGACGGCGACGCGCTCGCCGCCCTCACATCGGCGCCGAAGGAGAAGCGCTCTACGCTACCGTTGGCGCTGCAGCTGCTGGCCGGGGTCTACGGACCTTCCGCGGAATGCAGGCAGCAGTTCTACGACCGCCAGCGGGGCACGAAGGAAGTCGCCCCTGGCATACAGAACAAGTCTCCTGGCGTTGGCCAAGACAGCCTTTCCTCGCATGGACGAGGACGGGGTCGACGCCATGGTGACAGAAAAATCCTCCTGCTGGCAGACGACCTGGACATCGCCGTCGTTGCACAGGAGGATACGGAGATGACTTCCCTACAAGCGGCGCGGCTCCTCCACGCCAACCTGCTGTCACAGCGGCGGAAGGCCAGCAGGGCAGCGGCCGGGCGTGCGGGTGGCGGCAGCCACCCTCCCGGCGGAGGAGGTTTTCGCCGTCAACCATCGTCGGCAGCAGGGGACGGGAGCACGGTCGGGCCGGGATGGGTCGAGCCGCTTCGACCGTCCGTCATCGCCGCCGGCGCTCCCGCGTTGCTTCAACTGCGGCGTCCGAGGCCATGTCGCCTCGGGGTGCCGCTCTCCCCCGACAGTGCGGGACGACGCCTCGCCAGGACGCCGGGCCTCCTCCTCCTCCTCCCAAGCTCCATCAACATGATCCGGCGAGTCGCGGCACCACACATGTTTGGTCAAAACACACACCTGTCGCACACTCTCGCATCGCAACGAATGGGGGGACGACGTTGCATCGCGACGGGTCGGCGCGCACCACTGTGGGGACTCGAATCGAGCCCGGGCAGTGGTCTGCGTTGGCCCATCGCGTTGTGGCCGCATCGTCGGGGTCGTCGGCCGTCGTGGGACACATTGACGGGGTTGAGGTACGCATCCTGGTCGACACGGGGGCATCGGCGACCATTATTTCCGAATTAATTTACAACATTTTACCTGTCC